CAAAACTTAGACTTAATGAAAGAGTACGACAGTGAAAGAACACAGACTTTGGAGTCAAATAGATCTATTAGAATCCTGGCTCAGTTACTATCTGCGTGATTGTCCATGATTAACGTGTTTGAGTCTCAGTTTTCTTATCTCTAAAATTGGGATAATGCCTGCATTATCTACAGCTGCATAACAAACCTTAAAACAACAGATATCTATTATCTCATAAATTCTGTGGGTCAGGAATCCTGGTATGGCCCAGTTGGGGGCCTCTAGCTCAAGGTCTCTCATGAGGTTGCAGTTAACATGTGAGCCTCATCTGAAGGCTCACCTTGGGGAGAATCACTTCCAAACTCACTTATGTGATTGGCAGGACTCAGTTGTTAGCCAGCTGTTGGACTGATGACCTCAGAAGTCTTCCTCAGTTTCTTACCATGGAGCAGTTCACGCCACATCAGTTGGCTTCTTTCAGAGCAAGCAAGCTAGAGGGTGAGAAAGGGCTCCCAAGAAAGTAAGCTGGTCTTTGTATAACCTGATCTCAGAAGCTTCAGCCTTGCATTTCTCCCATATTCTATTCATTAGAAGTAAAAGGGAAAGATTACAGGAGGGCATGGATACCAGGAGGCAGGGACCAATGTGAGTCATCGTAGCTGCCTACCACAATGCCTTTAACTGAAGAGTTAAACAGTAAAACCATACCTAAGCATCCTGTGCATAGTAGGAGCTTATTAAATAACAAATATTAGTGAATTAAAACATCTGGCAAAGAATCCTAACCTCAAAGCCACAAATTTGTACCTCCCCAAGAAGGTTTGATAAACTCTAGGCTATCTAAAGTTATCTAAACATATTACTATTTGATTTCTAAGATGGTTGTGTTTAATTATATTTCAGAATAAGTTTCAGCTAATGGAACAGAGATTTCTAAAATGTGTACTCAACATATGAGAACGAGAAAAATCACAGGGTAAGGGCAGGTGTTCCCAGTTGCTAGGAGAGCAAAATCCCTACAGAGATTAGTAATTTTGAAGGCGATGCTTAATAATAACACTTATTTTTAACTGTAGTATTAGTGAAAACCATCAGTTACCTAAAGTACTGAGACTAGAGTCTGCAGCACTTGTATTTTCCAGAAATAACATTAAGAAAACTTAGTTTTTGATGAAGGACATTCATTCCTGAAATGCATTCCTCTGGCAACTCTGAGGCTCCTACTAAGAGTTATTTAAATTATTTTGTTCTGCATATGATCTAATATATATATCATGTATTGGGATTATTTCTCAACATGTCTGTTTCCCTGACAAGGCACACACTTGTCCAAAAGACTATTTTGAGTGCAAGGTCCTTGCTTTAGTTTTATTTACATCCTCAAGTCCCAGCACAGTGCCTACACATGTAAGCCACTTGAGAAATGTTGGTTAAAAGTTGCTGAATAGTCTCATTTCTCCCCTTTTTAAAAATAATTCAGATTAAGATGCTTAGCACTCATGGTCTCATAGGGCTTTTTTTTTTTTTTTTTTTGTATATTAGGTGAGATTTAGTAATATTTTTTGAGACAGGATCTCACTTTGTCTCCAGGCTGGAGTGCAGTGGCACAATCTTGGCTTACTGTAGCCTTGACCTCCTGGGTTCAAGCAATCCTACTCCCTCAGCCCCTCAAGTCACTGGGACTACAAGTGCATGCCACCATGCCCCAGTCATTTTTGTATTTTTTGTAGTAATGGGGTTTCACCCTGTTGCCCAGGCTGGTCTTGAACTCCTGGGCTCAAACGACCCACCCGCCCTGGCTTCCAAAAGTGCTGCCATTATAGGCATGAGCCACTGCACCTGGCTTCAGTAGTTTTTTAAAACATTCATTTGAAGATCTGAAAATGAATTTGTCATAAAAATCCAATTCTTTAAAACTTACATGAAATAGTTTTATAATAAACTTGTACAGGAAACTCCTAAGCATATTAAATATCCTGAGTTCTTAATTTTCTTCACTCTACCCTTTCTAATCCTTAAAATGGTGATTTTGACAGTATAACAAAATAGATTTCTTTAAAAGTGAATATTGAGTACAGATGAAATACGCTGCCTAGGAATGAAAAAATGGCCATGGATGTGAATTTTCCAAAATGAAAAAAAAGGAGCAATCAAGTTCAAGAATCTGTTGTCATATATCAACGGACAGTTCTATATTTCTGTTAAAATGTTGATTTCTTGTTAAGTTTCCAACTTTCCCTGTCAGTGAATTCAGACTTCTTGATTTAACTCCCCATTTGTCAACAGATGCTGTGTTT